GCAAGAGTCGCTTGGTCTCCTCACCAAAGCTCAAGCCTTCACTTACAGAAGTCAACTTCATCTTCGAAGCTTACAATGTGTGAATCCCATTTCTGGTGTCCCCTGCCGTGATATTGCTGGAATATTGCTAAAAGCGGCGTAAAACCAAGCTCAGTCAGTCAGTCAGTCATCTTCGAAGCTACATTGATGATTGCACATCCAGGCACAACAGGATCTGATAGTACTTCGACGCTAACTGTAGTTCACCACCATGCTGCTCTGGCAGTTAGGATGGCTAGTGTACATTGCTGTATGGAAGCTAACATCGATCCAGAGACTCCACGTCATCGATACATTGTTCGACACCTGTCAGAGGAGGATGTTCGCCCTTCAAGACAGGTGCATCATGACCCCGCAATGCATTCCTCCAGTGCTATCTCAGTGGCAGCTGCTAGGCTTTCTGACATCAGCTCAAGCCCCAACTACCAGAGGGTAGCTTCAGCTTCAGCCGTGCTAGACGAGCAGAATCTTGTCCTTCATGTCGACTCATCATTGTTCCTCGACGCATCCCTCACGGGTCGGGGACTCACTTTCTTCATCATCAGACGGCCGGACTGTGGTCGTCCGCAGAACGGGACTTGCACATCAACGAACTCAAGTTCTTGGCGGTTCTTCTCGCCTTCCGACATTGGGCGATGGAACTTCTGGAGTCTTCCCTGCTGATTCAGACAGACAACACCACAGCCGTCTGGTACATCAACCATCTCGGGTTGACAGGTTCGGCGAACCTTCTTCAGCTGGCGCTTTGGTTCTTCCATCTAATCGACTCCCTCACCATTGATGCCCGAGCCAGATACATTCCTGGAGTCAGGATTGTCAGTGCAGACGCGCTGTCCTGCTCCAATCAGCCTTCTCCCACGGAGTGGCAATTAAACCCACAGACCTTTCGGGAACTGGTCTTCCCGTTATCAAGGTCCCAAGTTGACCTATTCGCCACGTGGTTCAACCATCAGCTCCGGAAGTTTGTCTCACCGATTCCAGACCAACTAGCGTGGGATCTCAACGCTCTGGCGATTTCATGTGAGGGGCTCAATGCTTACGCCCTTCCCCCCTTTGGCTCTTCTACCTAGAGTCATCCAGAAACTCCGGGCGACCAGACAGAGTCTACTGCTTTTGGTCGCCCCTTACTGGCCAGGTGTTGGTTTGTTGATCTCGCACAGCTCGCAGCCCTAAACCCAGTTCCTCTTCCCGATCGGGATGACCTACTGTTACACCCTCACTCGGATCAGTGCCACATATCCCTGTGTTTTGAGGGATATTGCACATCCAGAGGCATTACATCTCCCATTTCTACTTCACCTCAAATAGTCGCTGAATTTCTTCAGCATTTTGCGGTCGTCTAAAGCTCAAGGGTTTAGACCTCCTGCATGGGATTTATCTGTGGTGCTGCTTCATTTTGGCCTTGGTGAACTATGAACCCTTAGCTCCAGAAGATCTCAAGACCTTTTTCCTTGTGGCCTTGGCTACAGCTGCTCGGATTTCTGAACTCCACGCTTTGGACGTTAACAGAGTCCAGTTTGAATGGAAGAAGCATGGCAAAGTCTTCCTCGGTCTTCGTTGGGATTTCGTAGTGAAGAATAATTTGCCGGGACAACCCGACCGTACTTTTACCATCCCACCATTGTCCACGATCCTTGGGCGCATGACAATGAAGACCTGCAGCTTTTCCCTGTTAGGGCTTTGAAGATTTTTCTTGCTGCTTCTAAAGATCGCCGCCATCTCCTCAAACACCTCTTCATTCCGTTGTCCTCAACATCCAGGGCGGAAGTGTCTCGCACCACATTATGCTTCTGGATGAGAGCCACCATCCTACGGGCTTACACCTTCGTTGGGTTACAGTCCCCGACAGCTTCTAATCCACATGAGACACGGGCGTTAGCATCTACGATGGCTCTGCATAGTAACTGCTCTCTACACGCCATTATGGAAGGATGCTTCTGGCGATCTGACTCGGTCTTCTCCTCCCACTGCCTTCGGGACCTCACAGTCAAGGACGTCCACGGCCTGTACCAGATTGGACCCCTTGTTCTCGCACAACAGCTGTCTACGGCCCAACAACGCAGATAGGGGACAGTCCCACGCGGTTGCTGCTTCCCTGTACTTTCCTGAATATAAGTCTGAACTTGATGTCTGTCTTATGTTTTGATTGCCTATGGGTTAGAACTACTTTACAAAGTTTTATACTAAGACACGGAGATACTACCACCTCGGTGGTTGGACGAATCTGGAGCTCGATATTCTGTATCGATGTGGAAGGGTTCGTCATTTCACGTTTCCTGACCTCTACTTTTCGAAGCAAATACATCAGTGAAGTGTGTCACTCCCAGTGGATTTCGTTGCGTTCCGACTCCCGAAGTTGCCAGGCTCATCCTTTGACTAAGCTTATGTAAAGAAGTGAGGGTCAATTTGATGTTGACTGGAACTGAACGTTAAAACTGCGAGTTTTCCGAGTTGTGCTTCTCTTTCACCTGCCCCTGGTCGCTGTCTGTGGGGGTCTTCTCGAAGCAGGGGCTGGCCCAATTATTGTCTATGACTTTAATTTATGGTGGTACCTTGAAAATCGTGGTGAAGTGACATCCTCTCTCGCTGAGCTGCGTCCTTCTCCGGAGGTTGCGGCCGAACACGACATCGCTCGGGAGCACCCATCTCCCTGGGAGACATTGTGCTTAGTAAGCCAAGGAGTTCAGAGGAACTTGTCACAAGCGTAAGAGTTGCGCTAGTCATAACAGGCCTCCCTTGTGCATCGCTGTCTACGGTTGTTTCCAGTCTACTGTTCGCACTGACAAGACACAGGGTATCTGCGTAGCGCCGTCCGACCGTGGGATAAGTGCATACCGTGAGATAGGATAAGTTTAAAAATTTGGAAATTTTAAATATAAATTGTATATTTATATACTTATCCTATCTCACGCGACGGATTCCCGCCCATCCTCCCTGCTACGCAGATTCTCCAAGATTGATATTCCAGTGGCTCCAAGATTGAGAATGATGATTCGGAGATAGTGGTGCATGCCGCATGCTTTGCATGACAACTAGGAAGCTGTCTTATAATGAAGGTAGCATGGACTGCTTTGGCGGATGGACAAGAGAGGCCAAGGGAAAAAAGTTTACATCATTCCACTCAGTGTCGAATCAAGAGAGAGAAGTGCATACTGTGAGATACCGTGAGATAGGATAAGTATATAAATATACAATTTATATTTAAAATTTCCAATTTCCTCAATTTTTCTGATTTTTTTCCATGGTATACTCTGTATCAATAAATGGATATTATTTTTTAATTTTTTATCCTGATATGTCATTTTATTCCCCCAAAATGAATGGAAGATGCATTTTCAGATTTGACCAGCTTTTATTGCACTGGGCAGAGTTTGTCCATCTGTCTTCCCATCTGCTTCTTTATGGAGACCATTTTGTTGAACACTTAAGTTAGAGAAATAAAATCTATCAGAATGATGTTACTAGTCCGGATCTCATGAGTTATAAAATTTGTGTTGTCATATAATTTTAACAAAGTTAGGCACTTGCTCCATGCTTAGTGAATAGTGAGGGAATATAGGGACAGATTTTCTCAGTCTACTGAAGAGATGCTTGTCAACTTGGCATAACTGGGTCAAAAATTGGTGCCATAAATTGAGGTTCCACTGCTACAGACCTTGATCCATGTTAGTTGGTGTATTGTGTCTGCCATGGGGACAAGTTTTCTCAGAAATTACTTAAGTTTCATGAATGAAACTATGCAAGCTTATCTTTGAGCTACTTATCAAAACAGAGGTAAAAATGTATGGTTTTAACTTTTGTGCATCCTGACTCCAAGGGGTCAAGTTTCCTTAACTTCCATATCATTCACTATAGTATGAAAAAACACAATTCTAATGTGCTTTGTGGTGGGGTTGAACTCTGACCTGATGAAAACGTAAGTGACATTTTGAGTATCTGCTATGCTGTATATATATCATTATGTTATTTGATCATCTTTACTCTTTAAGTAAGTGAGTTAAATGATGACAAAAGGTCCATTTTCCCATTGTGCCAAAGTAAGCTGGAATTTCCGGACTCAATCGAATTTCCACCACTAGAGTAATGTCCCTTCTGTGCCAATCCTATCGACCTATCAGGTTCAGCGTTTCATGTCACTTGCATCTGTGCCTTGTTGAGATGATGTTATCAATAGTCAAGATTTTTTTGTAATAGAGCAAGTCATACCTAATGAAGTGCATTAAAACTTGTAAACAAAATAATGAAACATGGACCCTATTGAAAATATTTACCGATGTAAAGATGTAGGTGAAGTTGTACTTTCCTGCTGAGGTGCATCCTGCTCCTGTCTCTTCATGTGTTATATTCATAGATGTGTCCATTCAGAGATGTTTGATTGAAGATCAGTAGGGACTCTTTTGTTATTTATCACACACTTTTGATTTTGATCACACACAGTAATTAATTGTGATATGACTAGTATATATGTTCCACTTCATGTTCCACTATTTGTATTTGAGTAGACCTTTTATACCTTGTTTAGTGCAACAAGATGGCCATAGTCTCAATTGTGATTTCTCTCAACAGAAAGACCCAGCACCTACGCCAGTTCCACCTCCTGTTTCCAACCAACTTCCAAAGATTGATGAACTCATGAAACCTATGTTGGCGGTGTCAAGCTGAGCAACTCACTGCCACAACTCAAGGATGACCTTTCCAGTAAGCTGAAGGACCTCCTTAGTAAGCACAAGACTCCAAGGCTAGAGGAACTTTTTGGACCTGACAAGACACTCCCATTATTTGGTCTCCCCAACCAGGACAAAGCACAAGTGTTGACCAATAAGATTTTATTGAAACGTCAGAAGAAAGATTATGTACCTGATGACCTTCATCCTCTGCTGGAGCATATTGGGACTGGATTACTGGGAGCGTTCAAACATGCAGTTGGAGGAGACGACCACGACTTTCAGAAACATGGGAAGACAAAGCCTCTGATTGGAGGAGATGACCATGACTTTCAGAAACATGGGGAGACGAAGCCTCTGATTGGAGGAGATGACCATGACTTTCAGAAACATGGGAAGACAAAGCCTCTGATTGGAGGAGATGACCATGACTTTCAGAAACATGGGGAGACGAAGCCTCTGATTGGAGGAGATGACCATGACTTTCAGAAACATGGGAAGACAAAGCCTCTGATTGGAGGAGATGACCATGACTTTCAGAAACATGGGGAGACGAAGCCTCTGATTGGAGGGAGGCGACCATGACTTTTCAGAAACATGGGGAGACGAAGCCTCTGATTGGAGGAGATGACCATGACTTTCAGAAACATGGGAGACGAAGCCTCTGATTGGAGGAGATGACCATGACTTTCAGAAACATGGGGAGACGAAGCCTCTGATTGGAGGAGACGACCACGACTTTCAGAAACATGGGGAGACGAAGCCTCTGATTGGAGGAGACGACCACGACTTTCAGAAACATGGACGTGGCAACCTGGGAGGAGATGGTCATGACCTCTGTCATGGAGGACACTTCAAGGACTTCATGATCAAACATGGAAAGGTCTACAATACTGAAGACGGTAGGGATCAATCCCTTTAGATGTAAAAGCATTAAATAGTGCATTAGAAGGCAGAAATATATTCAGAAGAGTGGTTGTGTTCAGCCATCGTTTTGTCTGGCCAAGACTCGGTTATTTACACACTGCAGTGATATAACAGGAATACAGCTGTAAATGATGACAGCAGAAAGAGATGTTTTAGAAACTAAAATTAAACAAAGCTCTGTTATTTTTCATTCAGCCCTACCAAATCCTGTGTATATGGTAAACGTCTTTGGTTACTTGTTTCTCCTCATTATGTCTTTTCTTTCAACTGTTAGATACTCAGATGTATTTGATTTTTTATTAATATTTCAGAGGAGGCCAAGAGATTTGCCATCTTCTGTGACAACATGAAAATTGCTCGTAAGCTGAATGAGACTGAATTAGGAACAGCAGTATATGGTGCTACCAAATTTGCAGACCTTACACGTAAGAATCAGTTCCATCGAAATTGATTATTAAAATGTGTGTGCACTATGGTAACAAAGGTCAGAGAACCTAAAGAGCGATTGAGAGACTCTGGGAGCCAAGCCCAAGACTTGACTGAGTGTGTTTCCTTTGGTCTAAAAGCTAGGATTGATTGCTTTCATATATGCTGGTTTCTTGCGCAACAACATGATCTTTTTTTGATATAGCTGGAATATTGCTGACAAACCATATTCAGTTTAGTACAGTATTTATGTTGTATTACTGGCAAACAAGGATAAGTTAAGCACAGACCTGACAATTGGTCCGTATTAGCATGTATGAGTTCCGCACACTGGCTTGCCATTGTGAAGCCGAAGGGTCCCAGGTTGTCCGACTTGCTACACCGACCACATGAGAGTCTTCTGAGCAAGGTGTGCAAGCAGCTACGCACGGAATCAATTTCATCATCATGCACTGCACATCCAGTAGCCTACACCTGCTCTACCTTTCACAAACCAAATGAGTTTGCTCATTGCCGTGCACTGCCTACTTCTTGTAAATGCGTTCTCTGTGCTGGTCCAACTTATCCTTGTTTTCCAGTAGTATGCATTATATCTTCTGTATTATCCACCATTGGCAGAGGAGGAATTCAAACAGAAGTACCTAAGCAAGACAACATGGAACAAGATGACCAACCATGGAGCGTCTATTATGAACAAAGCCAAAATCCCCAGTGGTACTGCCCCCAAGGCCTTTGACTGGAGAGATAAAGGTGCTGTTACACCTGTAAAGAACCAGGTAATTCTTTCCTCATCTCAGGTAGGACATCACCTAGGAGTAAAATTGAGGATAGGACATACCCACCATAAGTCTTCAGGATGAAAACAATCTTGTGTTGATTGTACCGAATCTCTTTGGATTCTTGTGTCATTTGGGAAGAGTATTGCGCCAACAGCACTGAACAACGGGACAGAAATTAACTTGAAACAAATCATACCACAAATATGACAATTACCAGTCAACAGGGAGGACTTACTTCTATTTATCTGTGTAACATTCAGATGTAACAAATCTCAGCATGTTCCAAACTATCATATTTGTAATTTGGGCACAGAACACTGACTCACTCACTCCAAATGATACGGGTAATGATCATGGAAAATATCTTATTGCATGTTCGTAAATTATGAACCAGGTGAGTTAGTGAGTTTAGTTTTACGCCGCACTTAGCAATATTCCAACTATATGGCGGCGGTCTGTAAATAGTCAAGTCTGGACCAGACAATCCAGTGATAAAAAAAACAGCATATTAGTGATCACTGTTACCTGTCTTTCATCAAATCAATTCTGAAATGTTGCCAATAAACCTAGAATAGGGTGGTATGTTTTTGAAAATATGTTTAACAGCTTTTTAGATAAATTTGTCAAAATGTTTCGCAAAGGCGGGGTCATGAGATGCCTGTTACTTTCTGTCAAAATACATCTTCATAAACAGGAGAATATGGGAAGTAAGAATTAATTTACACTTTAGAATGGCTATTACATCCTTTCTCGTGATCTCTTAATCGTTTCTTATAATTTGTGATACTGTCAAAATGTATATGGTTAAAGTGGATCTTTTCATTGTAGATGTTTGGTTCACCATTAACAAAACATCATAAAGTTATAGTGTCCTTATCCTCAGCAAGCTCCCTCCAAGTGACCTTTGTAATAATAACCTAGCACAAGGCATAGCGGAGTTTTGCCCCCTAACCTCTCTGTCATCATTTGATGTCATAGAGAAGCATAATTTTTTTGTCCTGTAACATAACCGCAATGCTCACTTTTCAGATCTTATGAAAATGTGAGTAAATAAACTAGGCATCCAGGGGGTTAAGAGAAGTTTCACATGTCACAAATGTTTTTCTGTTTTCACATGTTGGAAAGAGTTGTTGTGTTTTGTCTTCAGGGACAGTGTGGGTCCTGCTGGGCTTTCTCCACCACTGGCAACATCGAGGGACAATGGAAGATCAAGAAAGGACAGCTCATATCCCTCTCAGAACAAGGTAACAGGGTCATGGAATGGTGGAGCTTCACACTATTCAGAAACTGAATAGGGCCGCTGTGGCCTTACATACAAACGCACAGGCAGACTGTAGGCCACCATGCTCTTATTGTTTGGGCTTTGAGTAGTTAGACAGTATCATACAGTTGAAGGGTGCAGTGGGGTAGCCTAGTGGTTAAAGCGTTCACTCGTCACACCCCGGTTCGATTCCCAACGTGGGTATACTGTGTGAAGCCCATGCCTGGTGTCCCCTGCTGTGACTCACTCTCACTCACTGTCACATGACAACAGTTCCAGTTGAACTACAGTAGAGATTTTATTGGTTGGCCATAGCTATGAACCTGATTGTCCCTTTGTTTGCAGAGCTGGTTGACTGTGACAAGCTGGACGAGGGATGTAATGGTGGACTACCTTCTAATGCCTACATGTCTATCATGAAACTGGGTAAGTGGTTAACTTTCAATATAACCTGAAGTGTGCTTCTCACTATATATTAAGCATCTCTTGTTTTCCTGGAATAACTGCATTTGAGGTTTTTGTTTGCTGTCAGGTTTTACTTTTTTTTAAGTAACGACTCTTCCCAGGTTTTACTTTTTGTAAGTAAGATCTCTTCCCAGGTTTTACTTTATGTAATTATTTTTTCTATATGACTCTATATGAACATCAACATTCAAATGATATATGAGTGTTTGAAATCAATTGAAAAATATTGTCCAAGATCAATTTCAAAGTGCAAATGTTTTCTCAAGCAGGATCAGAACCGCATCTATCAGGTTAATAAGCTGACGCTCTACCTCACAGCCACTGAGCCAACGAAGACATAGGGGTTGAATTATCTATTAATAGTTACTGTCATTAAATTGATTTTACTTGCGTTTCAGTTATTGTTATGTTGCTTCATTAAATGATCATCTACATTATAATTATCCATCATTGACGGTTTATATGTTAGGGAAAACACTTCCCCTCGGTTTAGTAGAGAATGTAAAACCGTGGGAGGAGGGAAATACCTCCTCCCTCCCTCCTGGAGATGGTAAGCCAATGCTAAAACCAAGACCCGTGAAGGTCTCGGTTAGAATATTGGTCTTCAGTAACCCATGCTTGTCGTAAGAGGTGACTGAGGAGGGAAATTCCTGCTCCCTCGGTTTAACATTCTCTAATCTTTATTAAAACCTGAATGGGTCTCATCGTTGATGGAACATTTCTCCTATACTGCCTGTCCATGAAATATGATTTTGAGTAGAATTGAGGGGGGTTATCCATGGGGTTCCGGTGTACTCAGTTTTGGTATTATTTTCTTTGTGCAACGAAATGTCTGGCTCAAGTATAGACATGGACTTAGGAATGGTGTATGGTACGATCATCTCTTACAAAGTGTTGATAAACTGGAACAGCTGAGAGAAGCATTGTGGATACAGTTTGTATTATTCCAACCTAGGTGGCCTGGAGACAGAGAGTGAATACAAGTATGAAGCTGAAGATGAGAAATGTGCCTTCAACCGATCTGAAGTTGAAGTCAAGATCAATGGTGCTGTCAACATCTCCAGCAATGAAGATGGTAAGCCAATGCTAAAACCAAGACCCGTGAAGGTCCGGTTTAGAATATTGGTCAGTAACCCATGCTTGTCGTAAGAGGCGACTAACAGGATCGCGTGGTCAGGATCGCTGACTTAATTGACAGTTGTCATCGGTTCCCAATTGCGCAGATCGATGCTCATGCTGTTGATCACTGGATTGTCTGGTCCAGACTGGATTACGTACAGACAGCCGCCATATAGCTGGAATATTGCTGAGTGCAGCGTAAAACTAAACTCACTCACTCACTCACTTACTCGCTAAAACCAAATATAGGCAGATTTAGAGGTTGTGCCATGTATGCTCTTTTCTGTGTCCTGATTATTTGGCTGTTTGAAACCAAGCTGGGGATCTAGCTCAGCTGATTCATCAGATTTTGCACTTGTCAAAAACTGTGTCGGTAAAGGTCACTTTATAACCTCCAAATCAGTGGCCATGTCACCGGATAATCAACTAATCAATGTCAGATCATTGAAGCTGATGTTTGTCTTGAGCAAACCATGCTTGTTATAAGAGAGCACATTGTTTGTCGTAAGAGGCGGCTAACAGGATCAGATGGCCAGGCTCACAGACCTGGTTCATGTATGTTACATGTATCATATCAATTGTGTTGGTCAATACTAACTATTTTCATCACGGGATTATATGGTTCAAACTTGATCATTTTAGAAACAGCTGTCATATATTTGTTATATCACAGAGTACAGTATTTTACAACCAACAAAGCAGCGAACATCAATGTCATTAGTACTCCATGTTTGTTACAAGAGCAGGAGGTGCGGTGGGGTAGCCTAGTGGTTAAAGCATTCGTTCATCATGCTGAAAACCCAGGTTCGATTCCCCACATGGGTACAATGTGTGAAGAACGTTTCTGGCGCCTCCGCTGTGATATTGCTGGAATATTGCTAATGGCGGCATAATACAAAATTCACTCACTCACTACAAGAGCAGGTTAAATCCGTATGCATAAAGATAGGACCAAATGTCCAGTGTGAATTATTATACTCTGATGCAGTATGTTGACCATAAAAGGAAGCACTATGCACAGTTTGTTTGGAATTTGTTTCAAGAGGCACATGCTGAAACAAGTGCTCAGGTGCTAGTATCCTTGATTTCCATATGAATGGCTATCAGTATTCCTAGCATGTGACGGGGCGGTGGGGTAGCCTAGTGGTTGAAGCGTTCGCTCGTCACGCCGAAGGCCCGGGTTTGATTCCCCACAGTCAGTCAGTCCTAGCATGTGACACCCGTGAAAAATCCATGTTTGTCGTAGAGGCGACTAATGGGATTTGATGGTCAGGCTCAATGACTTGGTTGCTCATACTGTTGATCACTGGATTGTCTGGTCCAGACTTGATTATTTACAGACCACCGCCATCTAGCTGGAATATTGCTGAGTTCTGTGTTAATCAATCGATCAATCAATCTTCCAATCTAGCCTGTGTGGTGTGGGTTATCCTGAATATTGCCCTGGATATATATGTTATATTGTTACAGACATGGCTTCATGGCTGGCTCAAAATGGACCCATCTCCATCGGAATCAATGCAAATGCTATGCAGGTAAAGACAAGATTGTTAAAACTTAGCAGGAAGAAAATAATGTTGTACTCAGATGCAACAATATTTGTCATGTTTAACTTTCATTTGAAACACCTTGGTGTTTCCAGTGTCGCTGACCAATTGTCATTAGAAAATTTGGGGCGGCGAGGTAGCCTAGTGGTTAAAGCGCTGGCTCGTCACACCGAAGACCCGGGTTCGATTCCCCACATGGGCACAATGTGTTAAGCCCATTTCTGGTGTCCCCATACCGTGATATTGCTGGAATATTGCTAAAAGCGCGTAAAACTAAACTAAACTCAGTCAGTCAGTCAGTCATTAGAAAATTTAGATAGTCACAGGTTATTCTGTAACAAACCACTTCCTGTAAATGTAGTATATTTGATTGGACAACTGGATCTGATAGTGACAACACAGTGCCTTTAGTGAATACAAACATATGTTTCAGTTCTACTTCGGAGGAATCTCTCATCCCTGGGAAATCTTCTGCAACCCCACGTCCCTCGACCATGGTGTCCTCATTGTGGGATATGGTGTTGGTCAGTATACATGTCTATATGAACCGTAACCTCATAGTACCAGTTCCACAAGTTTGGATCTCTGCCAATTAGATGTAATATGATAAATATATAAAATATTGGAAAGTAGTATTTTTGAGGTGTTAGGATCTAAAACAATTCCAGATAGACATGCATCGCTTTGTTAAGTAATATGTTAACATTGATGTATGTGTTAAGAAACAAAAGTACTGATGAAGATCATCATCAATAAGGTTTTGTTTGTCAGAATGTAGCCTTGTGTATGGAATGTTTGAGATGTGAGCTGGTTGTTCTGTGTTTTGATGTTTGAAGCGTGAGCTGGTTGTACCGTGTTTCAATTTTTAAGACGTGAGCAGGTTGTACTGTGTTTCAATGTTTGAGATATGAGCAGGTTGTACTGTGTTTCAATGTTTGAGATGTGAGGTGGTTGTACTACCTTGTACTGTGTTTCAATGTTTGAGATGTGAGGTGGTTCTACTGTGTTTCGATGTTTGAGATGTGAGCAGGTGTTTCAGTGTTTGAGATGTGAGCAGGTGTTTCAGTGTTTGAGATGTGAGCAGGTGTTTCAATGTTTGAGATGTGAGCAGGTGTTTCAATGTTACAGAGGGGAGTGAACCATACTGGATCGTGAAGAACAGCTGGGGCCCAGACTGGGGAGAGAAGGTACGGCTTTGTCCTATAGTATAGCAAGCCATTCTGAACTAACACATCTCATCACGAATATCTACACTGCCTGTCACAAATTAAATCTTTCTCAGATAAGAAAATCGCGACGGACAAGGGGTTAGAAGGTATCTTTGTTTCATACTTATGGTGTGCTACATGTACTCCACTACCTGTACTCCATGCCACACAGGCATGCTCTAAGCGCATACATCTTAATGGACATTATTACCCGGATAACCCAAGCTGCTTGTGAGATGCTAGAAGGTTAGTAGTCATATGACATCCTACCGGGTACCCATTTTCTCCTGGGTGAACAGAGGCAGTTTTGAATAAACTCAGTTGCCAAAGGTGATACCACATTGTGTGCTTTGTTGAGGGGCAGGACAAAAGTCCTAAAACAACTCTCTGTGACCAACGTTACTTAACTTCAACTGATTTGTGACCTGGGATCTGTGTGCACACACGCACGCATGCACACACACATTATAAGTGAATCCTATGTTGTTTTTTAGATAATGACCCTAGTGTTACCAACCCTGTGATACTGTTTATTTCTTCCAGGGGTACTACCTTGTGTACCGAGGCGGTGGCGTGTGCGGACTCAACACAATGTGCACATCTGCTGTAGTCAACTAAAGATGCCTCACCTCTAGCTGCAGATCTGCGATATTTGCACCACAACACACAGAATAAAATGGAAAACATGTTGGAAATACTGTAATTTGGAAAATATGATTCTCACTGAAAAGGGCACATATATAGATCTGAATGTTAAAAGCAGATCTGAATTTCAAAAAGCAATTACCTTGCAATATTCTGTTTGTTGAGGTGTGAAACTTGTATATATTGTATTGTAACATTTTGTAGCATACATGAGCCTCACATGGGGATGTGATATGTTTGGAGGTAAATCATACTTTTTGCATCCTTTAGAAACAGATATACTGGTAAATGAACAATGCTGAATCTCTCTAAATTAAGGCACCTTTCATTATGATTGACAATTTAGCTTACATTGTGTGCAATGACCATGGTTTCCAAAAACTTTATATGCCTGATATTAATATTTCATTTTACACAGACGATTGAATAATATTTGAGGAGGAATATTATCTTTACAGCAAAATGCACGATTATATATATTGCTCATATATACAGTGAGATTGTACATGTTTCAATATTTTGTAAATTTGCACTGGTTTATATTTTAATCCCAACTTTTCGTTTGAAGTAACATTTTGGTCACTACTTGGTACTTAAGAAAATTTATATTTTCCTTATCCTGACTCATGCTTAATTGCTTGTCTTCTTCTTCTTGCGAACTATAGTGGAACACTTGAATCCCCTTTTAATCAGAAAATTTATGTTTTCACTGCATCCTTTTTTCTTTGCACATTTTTCAGGAAGTTCCTTGACTAACATCATATTTAATCAAGAATCTTTAACATACCTTTGATTAAAGAGATCAAATACTCATTTGTATGTATTGCAGTTCTTCGTACTCCAGTTTGTGTAAATCTCATGAGACCAAACATCCACTCTGAAATGTATTTTGGTATTTATAACCAGAACAGTTATTTTGATATGTACTTTTAGTTTTGCTTATGGACCTGCACTGTTGTGAAGTGTTAGATATTTACCACTGATAATGTTGCTGTGACAACAGTTGTTTTAACCATTGAAAACATGTTTATTTACATTACTTCCAAACACCACAGCTTTTAATATTGATTAAAGTCTTTTGTTTTTGTCATGCACATTTTTGGAAAGAATTAGTTTTGGTGGTGATGTATGGGATGAAAACTATTTGTGTTGAGAACTAGTTGTGATGCTGAAACCTGATTAGAGGATGGACCTAATATGTCAAACAACTTGTGTTTTAAAGTAAAGAATAAATTTTGTTAGAATGTATTTTTATGTAAGTGTGTAAAGTGTAAGAGATTTTTTTCACTAAGTAAGGTAATTAGGATTGGTCCTTTTTTTAAATAAAGCATTCCTTCTTTTTTGGGGGTTCATGCTGTATATTTCTGTCCCGAAACCATACACTGTTAGGGACCATTCATAATAAAAATACTGTAAACGTATTATATTTCGCGCAGGTTTTATTTTCGCGCAAAACATTCATTCAGTCTAGCCACGCTTGCCTCTGAGTTGTTACCATAACACTTCAAGTTTGAAGACAGGAATCTACGGGAATCTTAAAATGACGACTGATAGTAGCATAAAGAATCATACTTAACTCTCGCTGTAATGGATTTCCCAAAACATAATTAAATAATCAGCCAAATCCCATTGCCGAATTAGCGAAAACAGCAATGTGTGTTGTGGCCCGCCATGGAAATTGGTCACATGACAGATGGTTTGATACAAAACAGATTACCGTGAAACGACTCGGAAAGAAATAATACAGCAGTATTTTATTTATTCATTAACATTTTATTCACCAGTACATCATGAGGCGAATAGTCACTATCACTCAATCATCTCATTCACAAAAATCCGGCTTGTTTGAAATCACAAAGAGCTTCATATACAGTAAAAGTTAATTCGTCAAATCGTCAGAATTCGGAACATAAGACTGATGTGTTTTTCATCTCTTCCGGGAGTAAACGGATTACTGTGTACTAGTATATCTCACAGATAGAGATTTCCTGTGAGTAAGCAATAAACGCCGCCTGACAGGTTAAGCCACTCTGTTTGTTTTCACTGCTATTAGTGGCGGCCAAAGAGACAGCTGGCAGTTTCGGCTATTACTGATTGCGCGAATAATTGACCGCGCGAAGTAGTCTAAACTGTCAATTCTGCGAAAATTGCACCACGCGAAAATAAGTACGTTTACAGTAGATAAATTTTTTTATTTGTGGGGGGGAAGGAGGAGAAAGAGAAATGATGATTAAACTAGTACATGTGTTCAAAATTGCTGACACCCCCCCCCTTCCTTCCCAGAACAAAGTGGGTGACCCCTCCTTAAATAATCATCCTCATTTTCTCTTTCTTCTTCCTTACTCTATTTCTTTTCTTTCCCCCAAATAAATTATGAATGGTCCCTTAGGTGGTCTCTGGTCTACCTCCAGTACCAAATCCTCTATCCCAAGGGGTGAACACCCTTCCATGAGTTGGGTGGGAAGACTCTTACACCTGGATCTCACATTGGGCCAGCCAAGATCGGACGTAATTTACAGCAGCTTCCACAACCTTTTTCATGCCTGGAAAATATCAAGCGAAAAACACAGGCCACCAGTGTTTCTAGGTCTGCATCAGAAGCAGTATCATAATCGTGGAGACCTTCTTCATCAACCATCTGAAACGCCCACTGAAACACGTTTGGTGGAGAAGAGATACATAACTAAACCATATATTCAAACTGCATCCGAAAGAGAAGAAGTTCCAATATGGCTGCAGGCTAACGTTGGCTGCTGTACTCCTTCCACAAATCAGCATGAGAATATCAAGGCCACATGTGGAACACAGAAGAGGTGTGTTGTTCCACCAGGACAATGCATTGATGTGTCGTCTATGGACTAAGTGAATATACACTAATATGGCAGTTCTGTAGAGCTTCTCAATCTTACTTCTGGAAGACAACTGCTACTGTTTATCATGATAGTTTTGTAGAGCTTGAAGATGTTACTTCTTATGATCTAAGACAACTGCTACTGTTCAGGATGGTATTGTAGAGCTTGAAGATGTTACTTCTTATGATCGGAGACAACTTCTACTGTTCATGATTGTATTGTAGAGCTTGAAGATGTTACTCCATATTATCGAATACAACTTCTACTGTTCAGGATGGTATTGTAGAGTTTGAGGATGTTACTTTTCATGATTGGGGACCACATCTAATGTTCATGATGATGGTTTTGTAGAGCTTGAAGACCTTAATTCCGATGCTAATTTGGCTGCTGATGCAACATTTACGTTGAGACATCTGCCCTACTTATGTTTTTTGCTCTGCTAACTAAAACAAGGAAAGCAAAAATAATCTATTGGCATCTGTTACCTCACACAACTGTGATGAGTGGCATTCCTTTCTTGTTCTTGAATCAGGGGGCATTCACCATCTCGGGAACAGGTACTTCAAGCTGCCAGTTAAGAGCACAAAGGGGAGCTAATACCGACCGTCTATATCCTGAGTTTTGTTTGTTATTTAACCCAGCGGGGAGGTGGGGTAGCCTAGTGGTTAAAGCGTTCGCTTGTCAGGCCGAAGAACCGGGTTCGATTCCCCACATGGGTACAATATGTGAAGCCCATTTCTGGTGTCTCCCACTGTGATAGTGCTGTAATATTGCTAAAAGCGGTGTAAAGTCATACTCACTCACTGTTTACCGCAGCACTCAGCAATGTTCCAGCTATAGTTTACATGAAACGTACAACTTTTGCTCTTGGCATGAAAAAGAACATCGTGCTAAAAATTGTGAAAAATAAACCAACAACCAAGAAACAAAACCTTGTACAAAAAGGTAGGCATCCAAAGTTAGATTCTTTTGACATCAGGGTCATCAGAGATGTCATTCACCGGCTATTTGCTAGAAATGAACACCTGTCCACAAGAAAGTTAAAACACATCCTTGCAGAGGATCACGGCATTAATGTTTCTAGGTTTATGCTAAGCAAACTACTGCTCAAATTTGGATACAAGTACAAGAAGGTAGCAAACCAGAAACTTGTAATGTGTGAGAGATCTGATATTGTGAAAATAAGGTGTAACTATCTGAGAGAAATTAAGCAGGCAAGAGAGGATGGGTTCGAACCTATATCTGGATGAGACCTGGGTCAATGCAAACCATACTGCTGCCAGATAGTGGCTACCCACTGATCCCAGTGATGGTAGGAAAATACCAACAGGCAAAGGTGAATGTTTAATCGTTCTTCATGCTGGTTCCCACCGTGGATTCCTACCTGGGTGTGATCTGGTATTTCAGTCAAAGAGCACAGATGGTAGGGACTATCATACAGAAATGAACTCAACGGTTTTCACACAGTATGTTGAGGAACAATTGTTGCCAGCTCTGCCTTACAAAAAGTCTTGTTGTCATGGACAATGCTCCCTATCACAGTGTTCGAGATCCAAACAATAGGTGCCCAACTTCCAATACAAAGAAGTCAGATATGCAGCAATGGCTAACAAATAACAATATACAATTTTCAATTAAGGCCACTAAACCACAGTTGTACTCTTTGATTAAACCTAACAAACCTCCACCCACATATAACATTGACAACATGCTACGCCAACACGGCCATAAGGCCTTGAGATTATCACCGTACCACTGTGATCTCAACCCAATCGAACTTATCTGGGGAGACCTTAAAAGTTCAGTGGCCCGGAAAAATCAATCATTCAAGTTGAATGATGTCAAGCACATTTCAACACTGCTATATGTGACATGACATTGCACCTGGCATGCATGTGTTGAACATGTCAAGAAGGTGGAGAAAGAGTACTGGCTCAAAGATGGCTTGAAGGAGCTGACAGTTAATCCAGTTGTCATTCGTCTGGACACTGATGACTCCTCTGTGGAAGCATGGAGTGAACTTGATGAAGTTTAATTCTGTTGTTATATTTACAGATAATAATAGTATTCAGCCAGATAAGCTCAAAGAAATATAACTGTTTTTAACAATGACAGCACTGACTAATTCCAACGACTTATAGTGTAACATGAAACACTCATTTCACATAAAATTATCATGAAAATATAAATATTAACTATCTATATGCTTAAAGCTGTTAGAAATGCATTGCTTAATTTGGAATGTGAACGACACCAAAACAACTCTTTTGTCTTCATTCTATCTTTTCTTCAATGAGTGTGCATGATTGTGTGTGTTCTTGTGTCCGGGGCTTTAACAGTTGTTGAGTTCTAACCATAGGTGGTCCGATTAATGATTTAGTGTAAATATACTTTCTGTGTTCTTTAAATGCATTTCCACTTAGGTACTGCATAAAAAAAACATGACATTAACATTACAAATTTAAAGATTTTAACCTACAGAATAATTCTCCCTAATGGGTTTTGTGGTTAATGTTGAACAACTCAGAGAAACAAACTCCGTATGATGGTTAACAGTTGGCACCCACCTTACCCTATTCACGACCTGTGACACCTCTTCGTACCTGTCACGTGCATAGCTGACCTACATTGACGAACGTTGACCTTTATGACCCAACACTGCCGCTGTTACAGGTCATTGGCTCCCTCCCTCTGCAAGCAATCTGCGTTCTGCTGTTTATTTTGTTGACAGATTCTTTAATACAAATGCATAAAATCGGTGATTTACAATGTGATTAGGTTGTCTGACAAAACATCCACTTGCACAGTTTGAGATCGATTGGATCATTGGATGAAGAGATATTTAAAAAAACCCGGGTCCACATGCATTTCATGCCAAACTATATATAGTGGCGATCTGTTAATCATCTGTCTGGACCAGACAATCCAGTGATCAACATCATGAGCATCAATCTACGCAACTGGGTTTACGATGACATGTGTCAATGAGCCTGACCACCCGATCCCCTGAGTCGCTTCTTATGACAACCATGGGTTGCTGAAGATCAATTCTAACCTAGATCTTCACTGTGTCCCTGGGAGTGGGAATGGGGAGACCGCATTTTTGTTATGGATGTTTTTCACTGCATGGAAATATACAATTCCTTTCTGGACATTAACCATGGTCAACCAAAAAAAAACTTCTTTTGGAGGTGATTTGAAATTTGAATAAGAGGATTTCACACAGAAAAATATGTTTATTACAAAATTGTTAATTGTTTATGGTCTAAATAAATTATGTACATGAACTATTAAAAAAAATAACAACACCATGTTATGGCATGAAAACAGTTTAAAACAAGATGGTTGGAGAGACACCGATAACAACTATATTTGGTCGACTGGTTTACCACTTTGGACTCAAGCCTGAAATTTAAAAAGAATAACTTTAAACCTCAAATCCTTATCGGATGTGCAGGGATTAAAATTGTACATTTTTTTAAAGAATCTACGACAGGCTAATAATGATAACGGTGGAACCTGTGAATACATGTCTGGCAGAAAATGTGTTCATCTCACGAATGTTCCGCTCCTCTGTTCAGAAGGAGTGCTTATCTATGGCAGTTTTATCATTTCTGACCTGGAGCAAGGGACACTGAAAACTGCTCTGCTTACCTAGACGTGTTGCATCTGTCCACAGTTGTCGGAGGCCAGGCTATATTTGCGACTGCTCGACGGCCGGTACACAACCGTCACCTGGCACGTCATGCGCTGCATCAGACAAACAACCACTAACAGCACCAGCCAAAATAACAAATCCTCATTAATCATTACTTACGAATGATATTTTCACTTTGCTGCTGAGAACTTTGCACAAATGTGTATGTAAGATTACCTGCAACATTCCGTAGTTGGGGGTGCAGTCGGTGATTCCTTTGCCGTAGGAGTTGCCGTTGTTCCGGCAAGTGGATGATACAAGGTGAAGGTCAAGTGAGTAGGTTGTAGCCACCGCTGCCTATAGAGAGACAAGTTCTGTGACAATTAGCTACCACTATCTAACACAAGATAAGTGATCTCGTTATACATCGTACATCAAGGGTGTGATGATGGCTGGGGCGGATTCTTTTAAAGAATGATATCTTGTAGTAAACTATTGATGGTAATATTGAGACCTAAAACATTTTTAAAACGTTTGATGTCCTAAACATAAATGAGTTGTGAAATTTAATTAATCTTTCAAATAATTTTCATTTCAAAGAAAAAAAATCGCAATATTTTGTCTCCAAAATCCCAGCCGGAAGAATTGTAATGGGGCAAACCTTTTGTGAGATATTTTCCACTTTCTCCACCACAAACCGGAACATGTTGTTCATCTTCCCGTTCAAAGCATCTTCTGCGAACGACACAGCTTGTTGCAATGGCGCCGAGAGCTGAGTGGGATCCACACCTCCGAGGCTTCTTCTGCTCACCGTGGCGCAATTGTGTTCTGTCACGTGACCCATGGAGTTCATCCATACTTGCCGCCAAAGAGTGATGTCACACAGCTGAGTCTGTTACGACATACAGATGTCATGCAGCAGGGTATATAATGGTAACGTCAACGTACAGTTCCCATGAAACAGACGTGTGTACATCAGTGCACATAATTTCTAGTACCTCACACATTGCCTAACTAGGAACCAGATTGCCTTGTTTGTTTGCAACCGATAAATCCTGATACATTGTAACATATAGTACTCCACAATGAGATTGCCTTGCCGGTTTGCAACCGATAAATCTTGGTACATTGTAACATATAGTACTCCACAATGAGATTGCCTTGCCGGTTTGCAACCTATAAATCTTGGTACATTGTAACATAGTACTCCACAATGAGATTGCCTTGCCGGTTTGCAACCTATAAATCTTGGTACATTGTAACATATAGTACTCCACAATGAGATTGCCTTGCCGGTTTGCAACCTATAAATCCTGATACATTGTAACATATAGTACTCCACAATGAGATTGCCTTGCCGGTTTGCAACCTATAAATCCTGATACACTGTAACATATAGTACTCCACAATGAGATTGCCTTGCCGGTTTGCAACCTATAAATCTTGGTACATTGTAACATATAGTACTCTACAATGAGATTGCCTTGCCGGTTTGCAACCTATAAATCTTGGTACATTGTAACATATAGTACTCCACAATGAGATTGCCTTGCCGGTTTGCAACCTATAAATCTTGGTACATTGTAACATAGTACTCCACAATGAGATTGCCTTGCCGGTTTGCAACCTATAAATCTTGGTACATTGTAACATATAGTACTCCACAATGAGATTGCCTTGCCGGTTTGCAACCGATAAATCTTGGTACATTGTAACATATAGTACTCCACAATGAGATTGCCTTGCCGGTTTGCAACCGATAAATCCTGATACATTGTAACATATAGTACTCCACAATGAGATTGCCTTGCCGGTTTGCAACCGATAAATCTTGGTACATTGTAACAAATAGTAAGTACTCCACAATGATATTGCATTGTCAGTTTGTAACCAATAAATCTTGGTACATTGTAACAAATAGTAAGTACTCCACAATGAGATTGCATTGTCAGTTTGTAACCAATAAATCTTTGTTCCTTGTAACACGACGAGATTGCCTGGGAGGGTTGTTACTATAGTCTGTTTGCAGTGAAAAGGTACCGATGAATTTCACTTTAAACAAAAAAGAAAATCGATTAAAGCGAAATTAAGATTGCGAATCCTCACAATTTTACCTTGCCAATTGAACATCAAATCTCAGAATTGTATTCAACTTAGGATAAAAGTTGTTTAACAAACGATCATAGTTTCAAACCGCTATTATTGGTTTGTATTACAAGGGGGTATGCACATTAGATGAAACACCGAGAACAAGTAGGGTTGGTCTAAGTTAATGCTCATCACGTACAGCACGTGCATTTGTTTCACTGTTCCAACTACTGCGCTTACCCCCTTGTAATACAAACCAATAATAGCGATTTGAATCTATGATCGTTTGTTAAACAACTTTTATCCTAAGTTGAATAAAATTCTGAGATTTAATGTTCATTTGGCAAGGTAAAATTATGAGGATTCGCAATCTTAATTTCACTTAATCTGATTTACTTTTTTGTTTTCACTGCAAACAGACTATAATAAGTCTTGGTACATTGTAACAAATAGTAAGTACTCCACAATGAAATTGCATTGTCAGTTTGTAACCAATAACTCTGTGTTCCTTGCAACACGACGAGATGGCCAGGTAGGTTTGTTACTAATAAGTCTTGGTACATTGTAACATATAGTAAGTACTCCACAATTAGATTGCGATATAGGTTTGTAACCAATCAATCTTGGTACCATATAGTACTCTATATGCCTTGTCAGTTTGTAACAATAAATCTCGGGACTCCTTTTGGGTACTCTTTTGATTGATTCTTTTAAAAACACATATTCCAAAGTATTGTTATCCAAAATAGTAAGTTGTCACCAGTACAGCTTTTATTCAAATTAAAATGTGATAAAAACACCCAAGCAGTACTGGGGGCGTCCCTGCACCCCACTCCGGATCCGCCTGTGGGTGGAAGGAGGATTGACAAGTTATAAATACACTTACGTGGGTTCCTTGGCGAACGCGGATCTTGAAGAAGTAGTTTGTCCCGGCAACAACCTTAAGTTGAGAGATTCATTATGAGCATTCAAATTAATCCCACCTTCCGTATGAAGTAAAGATATTGAACCTCGATGTCAGTATGTCTTTCTCATTTATGTATCGACTTCGACACAAAGTTGTTTGACAATATATGTCCAATAGATCTAAAACATCTTCCACGGAATGGAAGTGGCCTTATATTACTAAGTGTATGAATCTGTGAACTACTTTAGTAGTTTGTAGTAACAACGCGTCGACATCGTACATCAAACAAGCTTATCTGTTCATAAGTCCAGGAAATAGATCCTCATAATTTCGTATTCCATGGTGCCATCTGCACTGACAGATTGGCATCTTCTAAAGATAACAAAAGCTATTTGTTTTTGACACGTACCTGGGTTTTAGCAGAAATTAGTTCAACATATGTTTTGTTTGTACCGTCCAGCGCGTTTGTTGTTTGGATGGCGTAATGTGCCAGCATCTGGATGAATTGGTCCTTGACGTCGGCGTCAGTAAAAGCTCCAAGTTGACGTTTGATTTGTTCGGTGCAGTGGTGGTCTGTCAACCTCCTTGCACTTGTCCAGGCTGGGGACCATACCCTCACTTCACACAGCTGGGTCTGAGGGTGTACAGCACAAGTTGGTGAGTCGGGGATCTTTAGAGCCGCACTACAAATATCTTAGCTGGAGCGAAATCTTAAACCAATAACTATAGCAACCTAACAGAAACACAAAAAATGTTTTGGCACGTTTTTGTGTCACTTTGGGAACGGAATGATAAATGTGTTAATGATATGACCGGTATATGATACACACACACAGATAAGAATATGTACGTTTTTTTAGTTTTACGCCGCCTTTAGCAGTATTCCAGCAATATCACGGCTGGGGACACCAGAAATCGGCTTCACACATTGTACCTATGTGGTGAATTGAACCCGGCGTGACGAGTGAACGCTTAAACCACAAGGCTAACCCACCAATCTAATATAGTTAATGAAATTCGACAGCTGAAAATTTATATGTGTGACATAAATTGAAACATTAGCAATTGAGAGCAACAGTTGTTCAAGGTACAAATCTTAGCTCACCTTATTTCCATTCTGAAGGCGGAGGGTAAGGATGTAGGTAAAACCACCGACAGTCTAAAATAAAAACATTTTTGAAAACGTAAATGCCAAGGAACTTAAAGAACAAAGACTTCATGAATATGTATCTTAGTGGACACTTCAGGACAAACATTTATGGATGTACAACTTGATTCATCACCTGAATAAAGAAGTTGTTCATTCATAAAGATTTGTCCTTTTCTGCCCCTCTGCCATTTTCTAGAAATGCCACTGAAAGAAGTTCAAGTGGACAATGCCTGTCAAGAAGCTGAGAGTCTAACATCACCCCAGAGTGGACATATATGGGGATAACTGTGGGTCTACAGAGCCAGGCCTCACCTTTAGACGCATAGAAAACTGCATACCATCATTGAGAACATGATCAGTTGGCACGGGCCAAATATTACGTGTTCCAAATATCCCATGTTCATTGCTATACACTTATGTGATAAACCGATGTCTATAAATTGTTCTTCAACTGGATTCTGGGCTATATAAGCAGTGACGTATTAACGTACTTGGTATCCGGCTTTGACAATTTTGACCAGAGAGTTCTGTGCCCCTTGAATTCCGTTGATCTCCGTGACCGCGAACTTTGCCACTTGCTTGATATCTCCACTGTTGATGTTCACAGGGTGGACGCCTCCGAGAAGATCCCCAGCACGCTTGGTCACCTGGCTACAGCTGTGCTCCGTCATTTCCTTCCTGTGGAGCCAGGGCTGGGACCAGATCTTCACATAGCAGATCTGGGTCTGGAGGTAGACAGGTGACTTAATGATCAGGTGACAGGTGTAGCACAATGATATAACTGGACAGGTGTAGCGTAGAATTTGTACCTTTGCTCCCCAACTTCAGAATACATGTCGGGGTTATGGTACATTAGAAACTTAATGATCAGGTTACAGGTGTAGCATAAAAATATAGCTGTACGGTGTACCGTTGCTTGTGTACCTCTCAGAAAGCTTGGAAATACTCGACAGCTTCTCAATATAGGTCTTGTTTTACAGCAGCCAAGAGGCCTAGTGGTCAGGTAACAGGAACACAGCATTATAAAGCACGCCACCTCAAAAACGGTCAGTATTGAAATGTATCTGATACATAATGAAATAGGACTCACCTTGTCCCCATCCTTCAGACGTATGGTCAGGATATAGTTCATTCCAGCAACAACCTGAAACGTTTGAAGAAACCCGTGTAGGGTGGACACTAAAGACTCGTCATTGAGGACTGTGTTGTTTTTATGTCAGAGATACCCTCTTAATTGTATTTACTCAACACATAATAACGTTCACTACTACAACTAACACACAGCATATTGGCCTTACCTGAGTTTTGGCTGAGATGACTTCTACTATGCTGTTCTGTGCACTCTGCAGTCTGTTGAGCTCGCCCAGGGCAAAGTTGGCCATGTTCTTTACGTCAGTACTGTTGACGTCCGCGTTGAACAGACCGCCGGGCACCCCGATGTCCCGCCTTTTGGCGTTAACACAACTATGGTGGGTCATCTGGGTCATCTGTGTCCAAGGCTGGTCCCAGATGGTCACATCACAGATCTGAGTCTGAAAACAAATAATGATTCATCACACGATCAGGACACGTGGCTGGACTAACCCTGAACTAGAGTAATATGGTGGGTTCATGAGATATATTTACAAAACGCAACACATTCATTTCAATAATTGTAAGAAATCTCAACTAAGTGACACCTTGTTTAACATGAAACCTACCTGGCTTCCATCACTCACGCGGATCTTCAGGAAGTAGTTGATGCCGGCAACCACCTGAAATGAACACGAGTGATAATGAAATATCCGACCGAACCTATAAACGGAGAAACCAATCAAACCAATACCTGAAAAAAGTCGCAATCGACAATGCAGTTGGGTATGCACATTTACAATTAATGTTATAATTATTGTCCACTAATAATTTTGTAAACGGTGGCTGATTGTAGCCCCAGACCTCCGGAAACCATTCCTCTGTTACCATGCCAAAAGCTGTCACATTTGTTAAATACCAAGACATATATTATTATTGCATACATTGTACAATAAATTTAGTAAGAAAGCCTTGGTTATAATACCTGATATAGGGGAATTTTACATCTCAAAACCCGCAAGCGCCATATAATTTTAATTTTTCATCCTATCACCATAATAGTTATGTTCATCTATCACAAGCACTATCTGAACATCGTTCATTTTTCAGGAATATATGCATGAAAATATTACTCCACGGTGTTGTCGGTCGGAACGTGACAGCTGGTCAACATAGTTCCAACTGCGTAAACCCGACATAGCAGCTTTGTAGATGTAATAATTCAAGGAATATTAAATCACACATATATTTTATATTTCATCAGATTTGGAAAACGGAAATGACCATAAACTGACGATTAAAATGAATGACGGAATAGTATCCTGACAAAACAATAATACTAATAATATATTGACACGCATTTACTGTGACGACAGCTGGTGGATTACTACCCAAACTGGCCTATAAGCAAACATGTAACAAACTGTTGTTCTTATGTTCAGTTAAATGAGATCAAACTTCCCCGTCATATAATGTCTCACAGCGTTGACCTTGTGCACCTGATTGAATGGCCTGTACAGCTGTCAACGAATTAGTAAAACGTATTGCTTTGTGTTCATTATATTTCACCCATTTCCCAAGCTTGGAGTATAGCTGTTAAATCTGCTGCAAATACAGACAGATGATCATTCAATCTAAATACTTTGGATAAACCGAGGCCTGGAATATAAAAAGCTTCTCCAACATGACCAGTTCTGGAATGTTTTGAAGCATCTGTGTAGATATGAGTAAAATTGCGATATTTGCTATTTATGTAATCTTGGGCAAGGACCTTGATAACACTGGGTTACATTTGTTCGTTCACAAGCTTCGATAAAGGGTGTGAAATCGAATGTTATGGTAGAGTCCATGGAACCATTTGGGGCAGATTTAGAACGGCATTTAACTGAAGATTGTTTAACTTGTGCTGGAATATAAATTGTTGCATATAAGTAATCCAAACGGTGGTTTTCCATGATTCATCACATCCCAATTGCGTAGATCGATGTTCATGCTGTTGATCACTTGACTGTCTCGTTCAGACGCGATTATTCACAGACCGCCGCCATATAGCTGGACTATTGCTGAGTGTCACGTTAAACAACAAACCAACTACAACAATTAACACACAACATATTGGCCTTACCTGAGTTTTGGCTGAGATGATTTCTACTATGTTGTTCTGTGCACTCTGCAGTCTGTTGAGCTCGCCCAGGGCAAAGTTGGTCATGTTCTTTACGTCAGTACTGTTGACGTCCGCGTTGAACAGACCGCCGGGCACCCCGATGTCCCGCCTTTTGGCGTTAACACAACTATGGTGGGTCATCTGGGTCATCTGTGTCCAAGGCTGGTCCCAGATGGTCACATCACAGATCTGAGTCTGAAAACAAATAATGATTCATCACACGATCAGGACACGTGGCTGGACTAACCCTGAACTAGAGTAATATGATGGGTTTATGAGATATATTTACAAAACGCAACACATTCATTTCAATAATTGCAAGAAATCTCAACTAAGTGACACCTTGTGTAACATGAAACCTACCTGGCTTCCATCACTCACGCGGATCTTCAGGAAGTAGTTGATGCCGGCAACCACCTGAAATGCTTGAAAATATTTCGCTCCATATGACGACGTGCATGCGTGTGTATGTGCGGCTGCTTGTACAAGCCCAGACTGAAGCTGGTTTTTATAGTGCTAGCCCACTGAGATACCATCCCGCAGTGAAGCATGAATACCCCACTCCAGACACATTATACTGGCTCCGAGCCGACCAGTCCTTGTTGTACCCATTAATGGCGAGCGCGCCAGGCGGGGACCAACAAGTGCCGTATTATTAACGTCTTTTGGTATGACGCGATCGGGGATCAAACCCGCAACCTTCCGCTCACCGGGCGGACGCTCTAACCACTACTCCACGGAGGCGAACACGAGTGATAATGAAATATCCGACCGAACCTATAAACGGAGAAACCAATCAAACCAAAACCTGAAAAAGTCGCAATCGACAATGCAGTTGGGTATGCACATTTACAATTAATGTTATAATTATTGTCCACTAATAATTTTGTAAACGGTGGCTGATTGTGGCCCCAGACCTCCGGAAACCATTCCTCTGTTACCATGCCAAAGCTGTCACATTTGTTAAATACCAAGACATATATTATTATTGCATACATTGTACAATAAATTTAGTAAGAAAGCCTTGGTTATAATACCTGATATAGGGAATTTTACATCTCAAACCCGCAAGCGCCATATAATTTTAATTTTTCATCCTATCACCGCCGTAATAGTTATGTTCATCTCTCACAAGCACTATCTGAACATCGTTCATTTTTCAGGAATATATGCATGAAAATATTACTCCACGGTGTTGTCGGTCGGAACGTGACAGCTGGTCAACATAGTTCCAACTGCTTAAACCCGACATAGCAGCTTTGTAGATGTAATAATTCAAGGAATATTAAATCACACATATATTTTATATTTCATCAGATTTGGAAAACGGAAATGACCATAAACTGACGATTAAAATGAATGACGGAATAGTATCCTGACAAAACAATAATACTAATAATATATTGACACGCATTTACTGTGACGACAGCTGGTGGATTACTACCCAAACTGGCCTATAAGCAAGCATGTAACAAACTGTTGTTCTTATGTTCAGTTAAATGAGATCAAACTTCCCCGTCTTGGAGATTGGCTTAATAGATTCAACATCTGACTGCTGGCTGTTGCAAAGCCATCTTAGCAAAGTTTGTCTACTTCTTCGATTCCAGATAAACTAACACATGAGCTGGAGACGCAACCAATATCACAACTGATGTACATGGAGTTTAAAACAGTGTCAAAGATACATGATCATCGTATGATAACCACCTGACGTGATAAATGCGCACCTGTTTGAATGGCCTGTACGGCTGACAATGAATCAGGAAAGTATTGCTTCGTGTTCATTATCTTTACCCGATCCAAACTTTGGAAATTATAGCTGTTAAAATCTGCTTTCGCAAAACAAGACGGGTGGCTATTCAATCTAAAATCTTTTGGTAAAACCGAGGGCCAGGAATACAAAAGCTTCTGAATCTTTTGAAGCATCTGTGTAGATATCAAGTAAAATTACGATGTTGCTATTTATGTAATCTTGGGCAAGGACCTTACCGATAAACACCTAGGTTACATTTTGTTTCGTTCACAAGCTTCGATAAAGGGGTGTAGAATCGATTGTTATGGTAGAGTCCATGGAACCATTTGGGGCCAGAGTTTAGAACGGCATTTAACTGAAGATTGTTGTAACGGTAACAGGTCCTCGGTGTTGCATATAAGTATTGTATTCCAAACGGTGGTTTTCCATGATTCATCACGTATCTAATTACGTAGATCAATCAATTACCATGCTGTTGATCCTTGACTGTCTCGTTCAGACGCAGATTGTTCACAGACCGCCGCCATATAGCTGGACTATTTGCTGAGTGTCACGTTAAACAACAAACCAACTACAGCAATTAACACTGCAACACTTATTGTCCCTTACCTGAGTTTTGGCTGAGATAGTTTCTACTATGTTGTTCTGTGCGCTCTGCAGTCTGTTGAAAAGGCTCGCCAAGGGCAAAGTTAGTCATGTTCTTTACGTCAGTACTGTTGACGTCCGCGTTGAACAGACCGCCGGGCACCCCGATGTCCCGCCTTTTTGGCGTTAACACAACTATGGTGGGTCATCTGGGTCATCACATGTCGAAGGCTGGTCCCAGATGAATCACATCACAGATCACAAGATCCTGAAGGCTCAAATAATGATTCATTCCACGATCAGGACACGTGGCTGGACTAACCCTGAACTTCAGAGTAATATGGTGGGTTCGTGAGGATATATTTACAAAGGCGCAGCATTCATTTCAATGAATTGCTTGAAATCAGCTTCAAAGTGACACCTTGTTTAACATAGAGCCTACCTGGCTTCCATCACTCACGCGGATCTTCAAGGAAAGTAGTAGTTCGATGCCGGCAACCACCTGAAATGAACAAAGGTGATATTAAAACAAAAACCCATGAAGAAGTCGCCATCGATAAGGGGGTTAGGTTTTTACAAAGTCCACCAGTTACTAATAATGTTATGGCTATTGTATACTATTGATTTTTTGTAAACGTTGGCTGATTGTAGCCCCCAGATCTCGAGTCAAAACATCTGTCACCTTGTAAACGCTATGACGCGCAAGGAAGGTATCGACACGCCCATTTCTGGTGTCCCCGCCACTGATATTGCTGGAATATTGCTAATATCGGCAAACTAAATTCACTCACTCATACTCCATCGCCAAACAGTATACCTGCATCCCAAACCCCAAAGTCCCAAATGGTTCAATTTTAATCCTATTACCATAATAGTTATGTTCATCTCACAAAGGGATCCGGATGGTAAGGCTCGCTGACTTGGTTGACATGCCATCGTATCCCAAATGCGTAGATCCCGATACGCATGCTGTTGATCACTGGATTGTCTGGTGGGGCTCTGTTATTTACAGACCTCCGCCATATAGATGGAATATTGCTGAGTGCGTCGTAAAATTAACTCACTCACTCACAAACTGATTGTCTGAACATCGCGCACATTTCAGGTATATGTGCATGAAAATATTATTTTCTCTACGGTGTCAGTCGGTCGGAACATGACAGCTGGTCAACATAGTTCCAACTGCGTAAACCCGACATACATAGAGCAGCTTCTTGGCTCGATTTTAATAATTTCGAAATATTTGACGATAAATAGATGATAAGAATGGATAAGTGAACCAGTTCCTAGAACAGAAAACGCAACAACATTGATATTGCCGGTGGTTTTAGCGTGATTTCGGATTTTTGGTGTTTTATTACCAAGGCCCTAAAGTGGCACAAAAAACATATAGTAAAATTACCAACAGGTAATCGTTGCCTTTAATTCATTCACAATGTTAAGATCAAAGGACGTTTCGAACGCACTGTATGCTACGTGCAAGATTGTTATTTGTGTAGTAAACCGACATGGAAGGAAACAGAAATGTAGATATAGGGGCTTAGAAACGCTGGAGTCAACTGAATACAAGTTTCCTAAAAAGCCAACGAGAAACATTTTCTCGCGCTTGGCAGCCGGCGTAGGCAAGCAAGACTGAGAAAGACCGGATTCCGCAGCGTGTCCTTTCACGCGGACACGCTAAAGTCCGCAATTCCTTAAGGAGCATTGCGTGAACGTTTCTTGGGTTTTGTTCCTTTCGAAATATAATTGCCCTTTGCGATAGTGACGTAACTAAAATATAGCCATCCACACAATTTCCAAATATGGCCAATGCATTGGTCTGCCTTGGCTTGAGTTATATTGCCCTTATCAAAGGGATAATACTCTAGTCTACGGCACGTCACGTCACGTCTGTAGAATCGCTCACGTTTGCTTTAGGTCACCTAGTAACGTCTTAGCTTTTCGTAATGGGACTACTAAAGCAGCAATATGCACATGTGGTATCATTTCTTTGACATTTATCGTCCAAATGCTACTGGTCTACAACTACAGATATATAGAAACTAATATCACGACAGTCGTCCTTTGCTAAATATCTAAGCGGTTTATAGTATCTCCCAGGTTGAAAACACCCGTAAAATGCCTTAACTTCCGCACTTCTTATGGGAGTGAGTAGTTTTACGCCGCAATCAGCAATACTCCACCTATATGGCGGCGGTCTGTAAATAATTAATTGTAATAAATGTCAAGTTGTAGCACTGTACCACCGACATGCCTGGATCTTAAGCTGAGATGACTTAGTCCAGACTTCATTGACAGTCCCCTGTAGCCTGTTCAGCGTAGTCACCGCATAGGTGGCCATTTTCAAGATGGTGGACCGGTGCCGTTGACTGAGGTCAGACACCAAGAGTCCGTCCCGCTTGGTGCGTGAAGTACATCATGCTGGGTAACTTATTATTGTCGTTGGAGCCAGACACGGGACCAGACGGTGACAGTGCAGGTCTGGGTCTGAAACACCGCGATCATACCCCTATTATAAAGGATCTGTCATGTAAATTATTAAAACGTTTGTTCTCGGAAGGACTTGGGTTATTATGTTCGAGCGCACCTGTTTGCTATTCCAGCCCGGTGTATTTTTGATACCGACTGTACCGGGCTGCAGGTTCATGGATCTGAAACATCGCAACCATGGGCCTCTTATATAGGATCTGAAGTATATAGTCAGACGGCTATTCTCGGGAATGGATAGGCACCTGTTTCTTTGCTCCAGACTCGTGTCGCGCGATGCGACTGTACTATCGATGACTACCGCTGTAGTTTAATATCGTAATTTGATTAAACAAGGTCTCTAAATAAACTACAAGATGTATGCTGTAACACGTCACCGGCAGTGTGGTAGACACGTGGATGAAGCGTTCGTTCAATCCTCTGAAGACCACACATGTGTGAGGGCGCATTCTCAGTGCCCCTTCCCAAAATGGCTGGGATATGGTTAAATACAATGTAACGCTATAAGACACCAGTGATGCGCTCCAACAAAATCCGCATCTCGTTCCCACTGGGGTGTGGAGGCAGGGCAGAAACAAAAGCCGTTATTGAT